GAACCCACCACCTTAGGTGTATGTGGCTGGCACCTTAGCCACTTGAGCCACAGGCGCCAAGCCCAGATTTTTAATTTTATTGAAAATATTGACATTTACACTTATATCAAAGACATAAAGAACATTCTGGTTACTGCTGAAAGTTCTCTTGGACAGTGCTGCCCCAGACTGTTATTCTGCAGGAAAGGAAAGCAACTTTTAGGTTGATTTCACATGTTTTTCTTACTTTAAAACATTCCATGACAAAGTAATAATGCATTGTTTTAAGACTGTATAAATCACTTACCTTATAATAAAAGCTTATCCTTAAAAAAAATTACAAAATGAAATCAGCTTCAGTGGCCTATGAGTAACAGGGCAGGAAATGGGTCTTCTCCAGGGTGGGGCCAGCCCTAGGCTGTCTCCTAGGCAGCTGGAGTTCTAGTTTTGGTTTGGCCATGCCTGCCAGGCACCCAGCCTATTTTAGCACGAAAGGAACAGTGGGTAATGAGGGCAGACCCTGCCCTTCCCTTGGTCCCAGTGCTTAGGAGCCCTGGAAGACAGAAAGGGGAAATAGGAACCAGGCTGAACCCCTTACTAACTCTGGCTCCAACCTTCAAAAACAAAACAAAGAGCTCTGAATTCACTGACTGCACTTGGGTCTTTTTGGATGTTGGGATCCAGAGTTTGGGTAGAACGACGTTTTCTAACCCACTAAAGGCCCAGGAAAGGAGACTTGTCTTCCCCTTTAAGGGCTCCAGCTTCCTTCCCAGTCCTCCCTCCCACCTCAACAGTCTTTCGAGGGACTTCCAGGTCCCCACCCCAACCCCAGAAATAAGCAGAGCCCTCAAACAGAGTCGCAGAACTGCTCCCCTGAGGTTTAGCATCAGTCTTTAATGCTGTCAACGCTGCATATCGACAAGTCACACACTTTGGTCTCATGTTGGCAGTGGCAACTTACAATGAGTCTAAAGGTCTGAGCACCAGACTGGCCACCAGGGAACAGACATTTGTTCCAACCCCCCCCCCCCCAAGGTTTCTTTTGAATTCCATCATGGCCCTAGTACAGAGAGCAGCGGCTGCTGTGGACTAGTTTCATTTGAGTGCACACCAATTTTACATGGAATTATAAAAACATATTTACAGACGTTTCACAGTGCTCCTGTAATCAGAAGCAAAGACCCTTTTATCAAAAGGGATTATATCTAGAGCTATGCAAAATTCAAAAGGATCAGATCCCTTTGAAAAAGAGTCCAGAGTCCATGAAACAAAAAAATTACCTGGGCCACTGCTAAGCCACAGGTGTGCCAAAAGACTGCTTTACATAAAATGAAAATAAGACCCATAAGTGAGCACATTCAACTGCACCAGAGCAAGAGGTTGGAAGGCCCCCTGCTTTGGCCAAACTCCCAGACCCCAGAGGAAGAGGTGGCTTCGTGACTCACGGGAGACTGGCTCCCCTGGTGCTGCTTCAACAAGAGGTATTGCTCGTGGGTGCTGGACAGGTAGTTCTGCAGAAATAGTTTAGGTTCTCAATTTGAGATGGCCAAAAAGAAGACAGGTTTCTTCAGGAGAAGAGCAAGACATAGGGGTCAAATACAGAATAAACCGGGAACTGATCATACAACAGAAACCAAGGTGTGTACAAAGGTCAACATCACTGCACAGGGAAGAATCAAGTCCAGCTGCTGGTCTGCCTCTTGCCCTTCAGTGGGGACTGGAGAAGGAGGGTGCGGGACCCTCCTGGGAGGGCTGCAGGATCCAGTGGGGCAGATTGCAATGCCTTTTCTCATTGGTCCCACTGTCTGCCGCCCTATCGCTCGAAAAACCACTTAAGTCTAGTACATGACTTTGAAAGATTGTAATATATTCTCTGGAAAACATTCAGCAGTATGAAAGCCCTCCCTGGGCCCTCCCGCCCTCTCACTGTTCGCAATTGGTTTACCGGTCTGGAAACCCTTGAGCTCTGGAAAGGTCCCTGGTCAGTCCTTGGGGAATGCAGGTAGTTATATTGGAAGAACCTGCTCAAGTACGGTTCTTGATGTCTGAGGAATCCTTTCAGGGAAGATCACTTCAAACTCAATAATGAGGTCCCCACGTTTCTCGGGCGTTTTGGGGAGGGGGAGGCCTTCTCCAGGAACTTTTCGCCGCATGCCAGGCCTGATGACATCTTTGAATACAACTGGTATGGTCCTGCCGTCCAGAGTAGGGACGTTCACTGAGCAGCCACACAAAGCCTTGGAAAGCAAAGGGACAGCATTAGATGGAGAATACCATTAGGTGAAGACTGTTTAGGAAATTCAACTCTTGCCCAGAGGCTGTTTGGTGTAGGTTAAAATCCATCAGGCCTTTGAAGCTAGGGCCCTGATCCCAAATCTACGCATGTCACCAATATGGAAGCTCTGAAGAACAGACCCCTGGTCAGTGCCATTTACTGCTATAGCCCAACTCTACCATCCAACATATGCTCAGAAACAAGTCTTGAGCAAATACTGAACCACTTCAAAAAGAACCTGTTTTTCTCTATAAATGTCATGTCACACATCCTAGCACCTTACCTCCCGAAGGCTGATCCTGGCAGGATAAATGACATCAGAACCATCTCTCTTAAAGATGTTGTGTGGCTTGTCCTTTAAAACAAAGACGATATCAGCTGGAATGTTGTTGGAGGTCTGGTCTCCTTCCTTGGGAAAGGTGATTTTGGTCCCTTCTTTCCACCCCTTCTTCACTTCGATGGTCAAGATTTTGTCTTCATTTCGAATGCTCTTTCCATCGGGGTTTAGACGCTTATGGGAGATTTTCATCTTCTTGGTACAGCCGTTATAGATCTCTTCAAGGGAAACCCTAAGGTCATGGGTGACAGGAGGATCTTGCTTCTTTCTGGTGGGTTCTTGGGCAGGGCGGGAGCGTCCAAAGTTCATGTTGGGGAAACCACCCATGCCCATGGGGAAGCTAGAGAATGGGTCATCAATGTCCATGCCTTCTTCCCCGTTCCGCTGCCCAAAAAAGTTGTCAAAGGGATTTCTGCCACCGAACAACTCAGCAAACATGGCATGTGGATCTCCATGGAACGTGTAGCTGAAAGAGGTACCATTAGCACCACCGCCACTACCGCCACTGGAGCCACCACCTTTCAGGCCTGAAAAGCAAAATTGGAACCTGTCAGATGGCTGGCCAGGAGCTTCTATCTTTAACAGTTTCTTTTAAGGGGAAAAAACTTAGAAACCACAGGGGAGGAACTTTAGTCTGCCAGGGAAGATTAAAGAAAACCCCCAAGCTTTTACCTCCCACTACAGCAACACAGACCCACCCTCTCAGGTGCTTCAGCCTGGCATGACAGTGGTGAAGGGCTCAAGCCCTGAGGTATCCTTCTCTATCTAGGTGCCACCCAGGGCCTACCAGTTCTTGACCAGTCCACCTGTCTGGCAATGTTACAAGGCCTTATAAAGACTAAGAGGCCAGCTAAGAAAGGTATGACCCTGGGTCAGCTTTCAGTACAGTTTGCTCTAAATACTTTAGGGTTAAGGATGTGTGAGCAAGTAAAAATAAGTGAAGTTAAGAAAAAACAAAAGGACGAGGAATTCTCAACTTCTTATACCCTGGCATTCGCTGCCACCATTCTCATATAAAAAGTGTCTTAAGATCAGGCCCAGAAGCCAGTCTGAGTCATCAATGGGCAACCGGACAAGAAGGTCTCGCCTCCTCTCTCCAGGCTGGCTGAGCAGCCCCAGGCCACACTCCCTGCACCTGGATGGCCACGGTCGCCGCCAGCCACCGCCTCTGAGCTGGGTGACGCCCCCCGGAGATCATTCCACCTACCCTCCCGGGCCGCGCTCGCTCCCCGCAGGTTGTACCAGGGGCACCGCCCTGCAGCTCTCGCGGCCTAGCCCAGGTGAGCCCGGCCCGCTGCACTCAGCCGCGCCCTCCCTGTCCTCTGCTCTGTCAGCACCCGCAGCCCCGGGCTGCTTTGGACGTGGGAGGAGGCGCCCAGGGAGGGGCAGCCCCAGACCTGCTAGAAGCTTCCAGGGCTCCTCCCCTCACCGGGTGGCCACCAATCGAGGGCTGAGGCCCGCGCGGCCGCGGGGCGGGAGCTTGTCTGCCCCCAGGCCCGGGGCGTCCACCCGGGAGGGGCAGGCAGTGCGCGGCCAGCGTGCCTCGGTTTCCCCTCCTGTCAAACGGCGGGGCGCACCCCCGACCGCGAGCACGCACCTTCTTCCCCGTAGCGGTCGAAGATCTCGCGCTTGCGCGGGTCGCTGAGCACGTCGTAGGCCTCGGCGATCTCCTTGAACTTCTCCTCGGCGCCGGGCTCCTTGTTCTTGTCTGGGTGGTAGCGCAGCGCCTGGCGGCGGTAGGCCCGCTTGATCTCCTCGTCCGACGCGCCACGGGCCAGGCCCAAGATCTGGTAGTAGTCTTTGCCCATGGCCCCCGCCTGCGGCCCGCCGCCCCGCTGTCGCCGTCCCCCGGCTCCGCCGCCGCCCCGTCCCGGACTCTTTATACCCGTCCGGCGGAAGCTTCCAGAGCCCGCCAGCCCCCTCCAGAACCTTCTGCCCCGCCCCCTGCGTTGCGCTTACCAATCGCCGCAGCCCAGTTAGCGACGCAAGACATCCGGGGCGGAGCCACGCGGCCAACGGCCGCCCGCGCGGGGCCACGCCCTTCTCATCTCTGCCCTCCGCAACGCCTCCTCGAGGCGCGCGCACAGGCCAGAGGAGGCCACGCCCACTCACCGGGGCGAGCCAATCGCTACATTGTTTTTCTACCAGAGGTGACACAGCCTATAGTGCGCCCCGCCCCTTCCTGGTTGAATTGTCTGACCACCCGCGGCTCGGAGAAGGGGCGGGGCTTTGGACAACTCCGCCCCTCATGCTGCACCGCCCCTTCCCCAGGGAAAGATACGCCTGCCAGTGGCCGCTCAGCTGGTGGTCTGCACTGTGACTGTCCGCAAACTGCCTAATCCATCCGTGGTGTCTCCTTCTAGAATAAGGGAATAAAAGTCCACACCCGTCCTCTTCTCACAGTTGTGGGGAGAATACCATTGGGAGCCCCAGCATAGTCCCTGTCCTCACCATACAGCTCTCTATAAAGTGAGGTGAGGATGGAGGACAAAACTCATCTCCCCTAGAAGTGTTCTGGCCTTTCTCCTTACTGTATTCTCAAAAGCACTTGCCACTATGTCTGGAATTATCTTGTTAATTGGCTTTCATGCTAAATGTCACCACACCTGGTTAGGGCCTGAGTCCTCCTGTCTGCGCTGAGTCTCCCGTGTCTGGACAATATCTGGCACGCAGTCTCAGTAGACACTTCATAAATACTCCTTGCTGTTCTCACATAGGAACTTCTTTCTCTGCCCATTACCTTTACGATTAGGGGACATGGACGTATCATATACCTTTCAGGACCTCCATTTCCTCATATGTGGGTGACATGATCCCATTTGCTCTGAAAGCCTGGAGTGGCTATGGTCAAAGACATGGCTGATGGGGAAAGGAGGCTTAGAGAGGTGTTCCACCTGTGAAAGGCCTAGGGAAGGAATGGAAAACCACTTGGGAGGTCAGGGTGCTCTGACACTGGCTCTGGGGCTAGAAATGACACTGGTTTCATTCCTGGTTCCAGCAGTTCCTGGGCTGCTTGACCTTGGGTTGGTTCCCTAGTAGTCATGAGGCCTCAGCTTCCTCATCTATACAACGGGGAACAGCAGTTGTACCTGCCTCTTAATGGCTTTGAAGTTTACATGAGTCAACATTTGTGATGTCCTCAGGATGGGCCTGGCACAAATGAAGTGCTATCAAAAGGGGTGACTCTTTTGTTTAGTGATGGTGTGCTCAGCCACCACCCCTTTCCTGGCAGCATCACAGCTACAAGTTTCCAGTGGCTGCTGACCTTAGACAGGTGGAGACTCCTGAGAGAAAAGACCATGGCCTTCTTCTGAATTCTAGCTTCCCCTGCCCACTTGCTGATTCTGAGGTAACCAGGGACTCTGGACTAGGGCACACACTGCATGGTGCTGGCACTGGGTAAGCCAATCAATCATGGGGGAAGAGAACTTCCTAGTTAAAAACTTACATAGGCTAGGTGCAGTGGCTCACACCTATAATTCTAGCCCTCCGGGAGTCCAAGGATTGTTTGAGCTCAGGGGTTCGAGACCAGCCTAAGCAAGAGTTAGACTTTGTCAGTACTAAGAATAGAACAATTAGCCAGGTGTGGTGGCTCAATCCTGTAGTCCCAGCTACTCAGGAGGTGTACCAGCTACTTGAAAGGCGAAGGCAGGAGGATCGCTTGAGCCCAGAAGTTTGAGTGCAATGAGCTAGGATGACACTACTTTACTGCACTCTACCTGCACCAACAGAGCGAAACTCTGTCTCAACAAACAAACAAACAAACATCTTACATACATAAATAACAACCAGGAGGGAGCAAGTCACCTTTATAGAGGAAAACCCAGGGTTTGTGGACTCCCTCATATGCTAGTATTCTATAATTTAAACTTAATTTAGAGTCACAGATGTAGCAGTTTCCAAAGGCCTTAACATGGTGCTAGGTGGGCCTTTCTGGTTGTACTAACAGTTCTCATCACACTGGAGGGCCACATGTTGCCAAAAACACTGAGCAAGGGATGTGTTTAAGTTTGAAGACAAACTTAGGGCTTGGAAGTCCCCCTCCCTGAGTGACCCTTGGTCATGTTCATGTTCAGTAAGTTTTTTTTTTTTTTTTTTAGATTGGGGGGTCTCTATATGTTGGCTAGACTGGTCTCAAATGCCTAGACTCAAATGATCTTTCTACCTCACCCTCCCGAGTAGTTACAATTACAGGTGCACACATCATCACACCCAACTTATATTCAGAAAGTTTTAATTATTTAAAAAAATATACCAAACAAACTAACCTAATAACTCTCCTTATGGATATGGTACTTGGACCTGAACTCTTACTGGGCACTTCAGAATATTACTGGAAAAGTGGCCTCCAGAGATACTTCAGAAGATCATAAGCTTTCAACTCAGAGAAGCTGTGAAGGTTAGTCTTCTGTGTCAGGTTGACTAAGCTTTAGAAACTACTTTTCAATTAAACACTAACCCAGTTGTTGCTGTGAAGGTATTTTGTAGATGTGGTTAGGTTAACATCTACAATTACTTGACTTTAAGTACTGGGCGTGACCTTCAATAACTTGAGTGGGCCTCATCCAGTCTGTCCAAAGGCTTTAAAAGTAAATAATGAAAGGCCTTAATAGTAAACATTGAAGTTTATCAGCAGAAGCAGCATCAGCCCCTGCCCAGGAGTTTACAGCCCTTTGGGATACCCAGTAGATTTTAGAGTTGTCTTGTCAACCCCTACAACCATGTAAGTCAATTCCTTGAAATAAATCTCTTTTTCTTTTTTAAGAGACAGAGTCTCACTATGTCACCCTTGATAGAGGACCGTGATGTCACAGCTCACAGCAACCTCCAACTCTTGGGCTTAAGCAACTCTCTTGCCTCAGCCTCCCAAGTAGCTGGGACTACAGGCATCTGCAACAATGCCCGGCTATTTTTTGGTTGCAGTTGTCATTGTTGTTTAGCAGGCCCCAGCTGGGCTTGAACCTGCCAGTCTTGGTTTATGTGGCTGGTGCCCTACTCACTGAGCTATGGGCGCTGAGCTATGAAATAAGTCTCTTAACACATATACAAACCCCCTACTGGTTCTGTTTCTTTGGTAAAACCCTGACATAGAAATTATGCAGGTGAGTCTGGGGTTAGTTGCTTTAGTTCAAATATTAGACCCACTATTTATTCATTTTCTGCCTGTGTGATTTTGTACAATTTGCTTGATCTTTCAGAGCATTAGGTCTGCCCTCCATGCAATGGAGGTAAGCGTAGATTTTACTTCCTTGTGTTGCTATGTGGATGAAATTGAGAGGGGCCAGGAAATGACATATGACATTATAACATCTTACACTGACAACATAGCTAAGCTTGTTCCAAGCTTGCTGATGAATACTAACTCATACAATAGTTATAACAACCTGTAAGGTTAGACTATCATTACTGCCCCTTTTACAGGTGGGGAATTGAAGCTAATGTGACTTTCCTAAGGTCACTCAGTGAGTAAAATGGTGAAGTGTTTAGTGCACTGAGTACTTATGGTAAGCACTCAGCTTGTGTATGATGTGACTCGGATAATCATAAAGGATTAATTTCCAAAAAGTTGCATTACTACTCTCTTCAACTCTTCATCTATTCATCAAAAAGACCTTCCAAAGCACAATACTCATATAAGTCAGCAATCCCATTCCTAGTGGGATACCCATGTGAAATAAAAACCTATGTTTATATGTAAAAATCCATGAGCAATTTTTTGAGGCTTCATCAGTAATTACCAACAGCCAACCTAAATGTCCTTCAATAGATGAATGGATAAATGAATGTGATCCCATTTGTTCTGAAAGCACACAATGAAATACTATTCAGTCATGAAAAGGAACGAGCTGTGGGTACAGGAAACAATGCAAATGAACCTCAAATGCATTATGTTAGTGAAAGAAGCCAGAGAGGCTATGTGATTCCATTTTATATGACCTTATGGAAAAGGCAAAAGTATCGGGACAAAAAGTAGATCAGTGATTACCAGGGGCTGGGATCTCCTACAAATGGGGTATAGGAGAATTTTGGGGGATGATGGAAATGTTCCACATCTTGATTATGATATATGTGTGTTCCAACTGCAAACTAAAATGGGTGACTTTTACTGTATGTAAATTTATAGCTCAATTAAGGAAACAAAAGAAAAAACCCCAAACAACCCAGGCATGACAGGAGAGAGCTCGGGAAACCTCTCTCCAGGGCTCCTGACATAGAAGAAACTTGCTAACCAGTCCTGGCTTGTCTAGTCTCAGATTCACCTCCCCTAACACACCTATGAACCAGGTGAGTCACATACTCCAAAACAAGCCAAACCAGGTTCTAGAAAAACTAAGATCCTACCTTATCTGTACATGGGAAATATGAAAGGAACTTGTGAGAAAAGACACTACCAAACATATCAGATCCTCACCATCTAAATGTTCTCAGGTTCCTCCAAACCCAAGGTCCTGGGAAGGCTGGATCATCCTTTGAAGCTGCCACTGCTCAAGACCACTCTTGCGGTTTCTCCCTTGGAAACTTATTAGAGCTTGTTATAATCGGCTCAGCAAACAACAAATAGATCTACCAGTCACCATTATGATTCAGCCACTGTGCTGGGAATATAGGGACAGGAGCAGGATCTAGCTGTCCCTACAGACAGGCACCATCAGGAGGCCACCATACAGTACCATCAATGGTTTATATAAAGTGGACAGTCTTCATTCTGAGGGTGGATTTGATTTCTGCTTACAGCCTGATTACTGGAGGCCAGATGAGGCAAACAAGAGGTTCCTTGCTCCTGCAACACCCATCAGAAACAAAAAGGAATTCTACTCTGGAGGCTGGATCCTTCCTTTCTACAAACTTCTTATGGGTGAGGAGCAGTTAGAAATTATTTGTATGCCTGGGTTGGCATATGACATAGTTATAGCCCAATGTTGATTTGGTGCTTGTTAAGTGAGTGTGGGGCTCATAAAAGTGGTCTCGAAAGGGAATTTCCAGAATGTTCTAAGATTCTGGGAATATATGTGGAATCACTTCAAAATGACATCTATTTGGATACCATAATGCCCTACCTAGCTGGAACCCAGTGAAACAGAAGACTTGCATATTCAGATCACTTCAGAGAAGCTGGAAATCGGCAGGACTGGCAAAGTAGCAAAACATGGCTGGGTTTTAGGGGTTCTATTCTGTCTCCTAAAACTCCTCACAAATTTGTCATCTTAACTAATTCAAGTTGGTAGGATTTTAATTTGTGGCTTCTAAATAAATACTCTTCCCATTCCTAAGAAAGGCAGGTCTGACAGAACACAAAGGGCTTCAAAACTGCCAACAGAAAAAGATCTTTGCTATTGAAAGCACAGTTATAAAACATCTTGATGTTTTCACTTATCTTTCCCAGATAGCCCCAGTAACAAAGATAATGAGTTTCTTAAGACCACTGTTGTGGCTTCCTTTACTGAGGGACAGGGATCTCCAAAGGCTACAGCTGCAGAAGTTTCCAGAATTGATGACTCGGATGGCTGAGTTCCGAGCACTGACTTGCCCTTGCCTCAACCTGTTACCCTGTGAATCAGTGATCTACCTTTAAGGATTCCTCATGGTGTTCCGGATGCCAGACCTCTGAATTCCGGAGGGTTTAACAGTTAGCTGATGAAGTTTCAGGGGCAGGTTCTGGAAAACAAGAGAAAGGAGAGTAGATTAAGAAGTGTGCCAGGTCCTATCTGAAGTCCTGAGTATATGTGTGCATGAGTCTGTTTGGGTGTATGTTTGTATGTGTGTGTGTGTGTGTTGGCACTCAATCTCCTCCATCAGTCCCTAACTGAATAATCCAGGGAATCAAAATCTGCCATGACCCCAGCCCAGCACTGTCCAATAGAAATAGTGTGGGAGGGACAATTGCCAGCCACAAATGCCCTTGTCTGTTGATGTTAAAGGTCTCAGTAACTGGAGTGATAGGGGTGCCTGTATCCCAGCTACTGAGAGGCTGAGGCAGGAGGATCACTTGAGGCCAGGAGTTAGAGACCAGCCTGCCATCCTGTCTTTAGTTAAAAAAAAAAAAAAAGGTTGGGTAGCGCCTGTGGCTCAGTGAGTAGGGTGCCAGTCCCATATACTGAGGGTGGTGGGTTCAAACTCAGCCCTGGCCAAACTGCAACAACAACAACAAAAATAGCTGGGCGTTGTGGTGGGTGCCTATAGTCCCAGCTACTTGGGAGGCTGAGGCAAGAGAATCGCTTAAGCCCAAGTGCTGGAGGTTGCTGTGAGCTGTGATGCTACAGCACTCTACTAAGGGCAACAAAGTGAGACTCTGCCTCAAAAAAAAAGAAGGAAAGAAACAAAAGAAGAGAAGTGGTGAACCTGTTAGTTCCAGCTACATGGAGCAAGGAGGAGGACCAAGGCACAAGAATTGTTTGAGCCCAGGTGTTTGAGGTTGTAGTGAGGTATGATGCCACTGCACCCTAGCTTGGGCAACAGAGCAAGACCCTGTTTCAAAAAGAAAAAGAAAAAATAACCCAACCAAAAAGTAAAAAGAAGCAGGGAACTTAATTTTAATAATGTCTTGGCTCGGCGCCTGTGGCTCAAGTGGCTAAGGCGCTAGCCACATACACCCAAAGTGGCAGGGTTGAATCCAG